AACATAGTTCTAAGTATACAAGCTGCTTATTTTAAAACAAATCTATATAACCATGTCCTCTACAGCCCAACAGGCTTTCCTGCAGACTATTTACTCAGAACCCCTTGTGAATCCTCATCAGAGCATTACTCCTCACAGCCCCTGATCTGTTTTCCATCTCTATGGATGATTGGTGCCTGTATTGGTTTAATCTAGGAAGCCAGATAAATTGAATCTTCCAGCATGCACTGTTTTGTGTCTGGTGTCTTTCACTCTATACTGGTAGAGATTCGTTTATATTGTACTTAATAGAAGAAGTCTTTTTTATTGCTTCAATAGTAGCATAAATGCACCACAACGTAATTATGTTTTCTGCTGCTGGGCGTTGGGATTGTTTCCACTTTGGCTATTATGAATCAAACTGCCATAAACCTTTATGAAGAGTTCTTTGGGCGTATAAAAGATTTCACTTGCATTGGAAAATAATTAGGACTGAAATCACTATAACATATACCAATCATATATTTGACTTTTCTAAAATCATCACACCTTTCGTATTTCTGGCAGCATGCATGCATATCTACTTACACATCCTAATCCATACTTAACCTGTCTAACAGCTTTCAAAAATTGTGTTCTTATAGTTATTAATTGGCATCTCACTGTAGCTTAATTTGTGTTTTCATGAATATTGATGTTAGGCATCTTTCACATTATGGTTGGACTTTTGCTTTTGTAAATTAAGATATGGATACTTATTGTAGGAACGGGGGTGACAACGATCCTATACCCTCTCAGCAGATAGAACCATGTGTGTCTGTGTATCTCTGTGTGTTTACCTCTATACTTACCTACCTGAAATGTATACATTAGAAGCAGTGATTTATTAAACTTCTATTTCCAAATCCAATGGTCCATCACATGATTAACTCAGCCTGCTCTTCTTTGTAGCTATAACTCCTTTTTATTCTGACAATAGGGACCTGATGGCCATTATCTGTAGTACATTTTTTTTTGCTATACCAATCCTAGAATGTCCATGAAGTAGTTTTGAAATTGTTAAACTATATCCTTGTGGAGAAATAAAGATACAAACTAGCATGAAGACACTTTTATGTACTGTTTTGTTTATTCCTAACCTGAGTATGCCTAGGTTTCTAAACATATGTTCTTTCTGATCTGATCCTCCACTTTGTAGCTTCGCTTGGTTAATTTATTTCTGTTTATAATCCCACTTCTTCCCTTTCCTGACCCGTCTTATTTATTGAATATATGAAATATTAACAATCTCCTAAAAATAAGAACTATACGCATAAGTATACTCTTTTTAGCCTGACTTCTGTGGTCATAACTTTCCTTCAAATTTAACTATTTACTGCATTTTGCTTCATTTTACAAGTTTTGAAGGTATCTCCAGTATTATTGAGTTTGAAAATTGTTTTTATTTTTTCTTATTTGAACCAAAGTTTAATTTGAAACATTGTATTTAATTTATAAATATTTTAAAATATGATTTTGTAAAACTTCAGAGAACAGACTCTGAAGGTTTTGGTCTTTCAGGGACAGGGTCTCCCTATAGCCCCAGCTGGCCTGGAACTCACTATGTAGACCTGGATAGTCTTGAACTCACAGAGCTCCATCTGCCTCTGCCTTGCAAGTGCTGGTACTAAAGGCATGCCTACCATGCCCGGCTTCGTACTATAACTTTCTTGATGACTCAGTCTGTGTTCTGTCTTGGTGAACCCTCCATGCACACCTTGCAGAAATATACTTATGCTTTTATGTCGCATGTAGAAAATGTGAAATAGGTCAAATTAGTTGCTAGTGTGATTCAGGCCTTTTGTCTCTATTGCTTTTTGTCTAATTGTCCAATTAATTAGTAAGAAAAAAATTGGTAAAATTGCCTGATTTTGTTTCATTAGCTTTAATAAAATTCATAAGCATATATATAGCACAAACTAACAAATACCTAGGATTGTTACAACTTCTCATTGAGCTTTCTTTTTATTGCTACACAATATGTTCTTATAGCTCTTGCAATGGTTTTCCTCTTCAATTTATCTTGAGTTGTATCAACATGACCATCCTAGCTCCCTGATGCTGTCTGTTGGCATGTAGAGACTTCATCTTTCTTTACTTTCTAGCTACTTTCCTTAATTTAAAATTGTTTTTTAGATGTCCTAAATTTAGATAGTGCTTTTTCATGCAGTATAAAAACATGCTTTTTAAATGAAGTGTTTAGTCCATTTACACTGAACGTAATTATTTCTATGACTTAACTTACCACCATTACCTGGTTTACTTGGATTTTTACTTATCTATTTCATTTATGTTTCAAGTTCACAACTTTCATTATTTATTTTTTCAGAATTAAATGCCTTTCAATGCTCCAATTACTTTGGTGTATTGGTTTCCAAGGTTTGCTTATTTTTCGTTTTAAGTTGTTGCTTCAATAAAATAAGATGTTTCAATTTCTCAGAAACTACTTCGAAGTCACGGAGCACTCCCTCCAGCCTCATACCTAACGCCTCACTCATCACACTCCCATTTGCCCCTTCCTCATTTTAGCACCAATTCTTCCCATTCTACACTTTGCCAAGTATAAAAATTTACACATAATTCCACTTAATTGCAGACTCTAATCTTCGTAGTATTAAAAAATATTTTTACATTATTCCTATGTTTTAACCTTAGAGGTTAAATTTTCCACCAAAGTTCTCAGGAATATCTTATCTGGCTGTATTGTCACACCATAATATGTAGTAGTGCTCTCTATATATTAGCTAGCACTGTATAATGTTCCCTAAGAAACTTACAGAATTCTTGATTTTATAAGTTGCTCAAATGATAATTTATTCCACATAAGAATGAACATTTGTAGATTTCAGTTATGTATAAACTCATCTCTTATGACCTTATTTACTTTACAAAGTATATTTATATTAGAAAAATTTGTAGGAGAGCTTAAAGAATTGTCTCTGGGAAAGCAGATGTCAACTCAATAGTATGAAGAGAAATGTGTTCCACATGGTGACTATCAACATGAAGCATACCTAAAAGTTATGTGATGTTATTGAAAAGGGATATGGGGTTTTTTAAATACCTGCTCTTAGTGGTTTTTTTTTATTTTCTGTAAAAGAGATGAGGCTTTGGGAAGGAATGGTTCGATAGTGACAACATAGTTTACAAAGTGTGTTGTTCATCTCTGGAGAAGATCTGCCATCTTAATAATGCTTGGTTTGTTAATATTGAGTGTTTCCCGAACCCTCAGAGCAACTGTTAACTATTAGTGAGAGAAACATGCATTGCCAAGAAACATGTGGGCTTGAGAGAAAGCCAACCTAAATGGAGAATTTAAAATGATCCACTTGTGGACATTTGTGAGCACTGACTGTACTGGGAACATTCTACCTATTTGATTCTCTACATAATGGCTAATAAAAAACTGGTACAAGATTTATTTGTAAGTTATATAGGAATCAAAAGAAAGTAGTGAGCACTGGTTGAGGGGCCATTATGAGTTAGTGAATAGAAATATTTTATATATTAATTCAGAGAACATTCCCAGATGTATGTGTGATTAATTTCAGAGACTGAGTCCCTCCAGCTTAGGCAGCTGGGAAGCGAGGAACTGTAGATTTGAACTGAAGTCAACTTGAAGTCAACCAAACTGGTTTGGTTCTACAGTTCCTTTATTTTCTACTTAATCAAACTATCATTTGTAAGAAGCAGGCAAATTTTACTTACCATAGGCATTTTCTTCTTCTGGTCTTTTTCCAATAATGGTATCTCGGAGTTGACGTAGTTTTTCCTTAATGAAATCACAAAACACAGAACCAAGACACAGCAATAATGATTTAACATTTTTTAATGTATCAAAATGAAAACATTCGTTATTTTACCAGTGCCAGCACTGCTCAGTAATAAGTTGCTACTTACGATGTCCCAAACATCCAGGTACTTTACACATAATATGTGACTCATTCTTTGGAAGGGGATATAAAGGGCAGTATCTTGTTTTACAGACACAGAAACTGAGGTACAGGGAGGTTAAGTAACATATCTTTATCACAGCTACAAGTGGTAGAATCAGGATTGGTATCAGAGCCTAGTTTTCTCGGGAATTATTTTCCTACCCTACACCTGTGTGGTCTCCAGGGAGCTTCACCATGGCAGCTGCTACTGCCTGAGCCCCTCTCCAGCCTAGGTCTGGAAAATTCTTCTCTGGTGCTCTAATTCTAAGAAGTAGGAACTCAGGGGGGGAATGTTATGAAACTAGATTCCTCATCTCAGGACAATTTTGATCTTTGTTTTCCAAATATTCTGCATGGGACATTTATTTCTCTTTTACCAGAAACAAACAAACAAACAAACAAACAAAAAAACACACCAGAAGAAGGAAATCAAAGGGGAGTTAGTGGCTTGTCCTCAGTGATGCCCTTTATGAAGGGTTGTTTCCATGACTTTGCGAATGTTTCCCTGAGTGGAGCTGTGTGCCCTAGGCATGCCGTGGTTTCAGGAGGATTGAGGAGGGTGGAGAGCAAAGCGTTCAGCTTCTTCAACACCTCATCTTCAGGGCTCGGGCTTCTATGTGGATCTTCACTGCTCCCTGCTCTGGGAACTTGTGCTGTGTGTGCATGCCATTTTCCCTAGGATAATCCCTTCATACACACAATATCTCTGTTACCTCTAGTAATTCATTTGAAGAATAAAAATGAAATGTTTACAAAGAGGAATCCTTCAGGATTTTCAAAGTATATGAACTACATGGGAGTGTGTGCATGTGTGTGTGTGTGTGTGTGTGTGTGTGTGTGCACAATCATGTGTAAGTAAGGAGAATATTCATTTTGGGGTTTTGGGTTTTTGTCCAGGACCCTGGGTCAAGGAGTGGCTGATTCCTCAAAAACTCTTCAGTCAAAGTTACTAAGCTTTTGGTTCTTATGGAAAATAGTCTTAAGATCTATTGATCTTAAGTTATTTATTTTTGTATAGCCACTCAATATATTCATTGTCTCCACTTATTAGGTAATCAGATCAGTTCCTATCTGATAGGTATATATTGCGCTAAATTCTTCCCCAACAATATTGGATATAAACATGCTGATAAAGTAGAAACAACAAAGGGTTTCAGGAAATAACTATTGTAGCAACTTTGAAGAAGCTGATTTTACTAAACTGGACTGAAATCCTTATTTTCTGAGGCTTTGAGAAGAATAAAATACATGTAGATCTTGGAGGAAAATTATTTACATATTTGCAATTGATTTGCAATTTTACCCTATTTGGGGATGGCAGTGGTGTGTGCGTGTGCTACGGTGATGACTCTGGAAGGAACAGAGAGGCAGTGCTGTCATTCTGCTCATGAGCAATGCACAGGTGCAGAACTCTACCATCATCTTTCTTTAGCTCTTGTTTCAAAAAATGACTGGCTTTGCTTGGTATTGCAAAACCTGGACCATTTCCAGCCACCAACACACAGCCAGTTGCCCTTCTAGACAGTAGCTTCTGATAAACCATGATCTCAGCTGTGTTTGGAAAGTCCTCTTGCCTGCACTGTTTTGGCCAATATTCCATATTGTTTGAAATCTCATTATAGTGACTCATTTTTCTATTGTTCAACTATATTGTCTTTTAAATAAAAATGATCTATTGGTAAAGGTAGCATATTAAGCTAATATTAGCTACCTGTATTTTGTCCTAAATTGGCTTAATAAATAGGTTTAATCAAGCAGCTACCTGGAAACTGGATTCTGAGGCAAGGAGGCTTCTTGTGATGGGATGGAAAAGAATAGTTAGATAGTTTAGTAATTGGAAGGCCTGTGACGTAAGCAGACCATAGCCTGTGACACAGCAGAGTGTCAATGATGGTCAAGGGGGCACTTGTGACATATTTTGTGAGGACAAAGAAGACATTGATCATATTTAGGATTATTGCTTGATGTGACTTCAATCAGTTTTTGTTCCCTTTAAGCACAGTCTTCGTTATAAACATCTGAATGCTGAGCACATGCTCATGTAATACTTCATCTAATTTCAGTGATGAGATGAAACAAGCATTCACTGCACTAAGGACAGGGACTGGAAAACAACTGGGTAATGGCTTTACTGTATTGGATTCTGAGATTGAGTACATGTAAATAAACTCATCGTTGTGAAATTTGGATACTGTTTAAAAGCTTTTAATGAAGAATTGTTTCAAACATATTTTTAGTGGCTAGTTAAAAACAAAAGAAAATAGTCTATATTTCTGGTGAAGACTAAATATTTAGAGAGTAGAGGGGATTCACAAGCGAAGGAATGTTCTAGGAAGTCAATCCTACCTGCTGAATCAGTTCCAGGCCACTCTTCCCTATCTGCCAGTGTTTAAATTTCTCCAGGGCTTCATCCACAGACATTTTCCCATTCTTCACTTTCTCTTGTAGGCGAATGAGTTCTTCCTGCCCAGCCGTCAGGCAGTCCCTTGCAATAGAGAAGGTTGAACCCTCCATCCGAGCTTTGTCTATATATGAAGCAAGGATATTTAACATTAACAGATGAACAATTGGTACAAAAAATCACTCTAAACAACAACTCATTGGAGTTTCTTTCTCTTTACTGTACACAGTTACAGAATAAGCTAGCACATAAATTTGTTTGACTGTTTTTGAGAGAAGGCGTCACTATGAGACCTGAGCTGACTTTGTACTTGAGATTCTACTTCCTAGTCTCCCAAGTGCTGGGGTCTCAGATCTGTCACTATGTCCAACCAGCACAAAAAATTTAATGTATTTTCTTTTAAGAATGGTCATAACTGGCATCTATATTATGGGTAAAAAAGAATGTATTTTATTACTGTAAAATATAAAGGCCAAGGGAAAAAAGGATGTGCTATTTGTAGGCGGTATCAGTTTTCTTTTTGTTGGGTGAGATTTAAAACAAGATCATGTGGGTGAGTCTTCAAAGACGGCTCAAGTTTTACAGCACCTGCCTCCTCCTCCCCTATGAATAACCAGAGCAAAAGATTTGTAGCAGCACTTTGAGAGGTAAATAACTGTGATTGAGTTCTGGAACTCATCCAGGGTGAAACTGGAAGCTCATAAGCTTTGGAGACCCAAGACTGTAGTATGACAGGAAGGCAAGGAGTGATAATCTGTGATGCTGACTTCCCAGTGCAAAAGGCGAGATGCTCTTTTCAGGGGAAAGAATAAGAGTCCCAGGAAATCACATCAGTGCACGTGCTGGCAAGCTCAGCTCCTGGAAAGTTTCACAGTTGTTACCAGCTTGCAGACCATTTACGGGAGCGGTGCAGAGTCTGCATGATAGTTTTCATTGGAGAAAATACATCTCTCCACCAACCCCCAGAGCCCATGCTGCTGTGGCACTGTACCAGTATACAAAGGCAGCTATTGTGTGAATTAATACTGACCTAGGGGTCAATGAAGTCTGCATATCCCAATACTTGGATCCCCACAAATATTCTACCATAGTAGCAAAAAGGACTGTAACCTCATGGACCCAACCTGACTGAGCAGAACATCTGCTCATCTAGTGCAAAGTCCTTGTACTTTAGGAGACAAATATTTCATAATAGATACCTAGGAACAAATAGGTACCTAAAGTCCTTGTACTTTAGGAGACAAATATTTCATAATAGATACCTAAGGACATAAAAGCTCTGTGCAATGAAAATTACAAAACTAACAGAACTTAAAGAAGACTCAGCACACAATGAAAAGTCCACCTTTGTTCATTGATTGAGAGATATGATATAATCTTATCATGTTATATAAATATCCACACAACCCAGAACAATCTATAGGTTCAATGGAGAGTCTTCATCAAAATACCAATGACAAAATCCTTTACAGAACTAGAAAAAAAACCTAAAATTCCTATGAGGCACAGCTGGATGCAGAGTTGGAGCCAGAAGTCATTGTGTTAAGTGAAATAAGTTAGACACAGAATGAAAAAACCCAGGTTTCTTTTCATATGTGTATGTTAAAAAATCCAACGGAAAGATATAATTCATAGAGTGCCTGCTGAGAAGAAGTGTGGAGGAAGGACATATGGAGGTTGACAAATAGGCACCAAAACACAGGTAGAAATAACAAACCTCCTGTTCACAATAATGAGGGGTGAGAGCAGCACACAATAACCTGCTATATATTTTATGAATAGCCGAGAGAAAGGAGGTTGGAGACTTCAACACAAAGTAATCATAGTGAGATAGAAACATTTATTCCCTTGGTTTGATCAGTACATAGTGTATTCACATACTGAATTATCACACTGTTCCATAAATGACTGTAATTATTGTAAGTATTTAAGGAGAGGGAACTGTTAGCTACCCTGATTCAATCATAACACACCATAACATGTATTAATTATCACACTATTCCCCATAAATCTCTAAAAGCAAAAAAAAGTTATAATAAAATAAGAGATTATGTGCACGAATTACTTAGTCTGGGGCTTGCCACATAATAAATGTTAATATTCTTAATAATGAACATTTGTTGAATAAACTATCTCTAATTTTGAGAACAGAGATCTCAATAAAAATCTAAATATCACAAGAGAGGATCATTTAAAACTTTATAGAAAATGAAAGTAAATAACTCCTCATTTTATAGTGAAATGCATTCTTTTCAAAAGTTTTATTTTGGTATCTGAAAACATAAATAGAACCACCTGCCTTTGGGGGCACTATGTGCTTTCCAAATCACCCCAAACCCTGTTACCAGCACATTTGTGCTAACTTCCTGGTTTCAGACCTTGTCTGAGTTTGTAACTTCTCATGTATGTATTTCATCAGCTCCAGTGTACTCACTGTAATGTCTCAGGAGACACAGGGTAATGGAGTACCAGCATGTGTCTTATTTACACAATGTCAGATCTGCACATGGCCAGTGTCTAGAAGGACAGAAAACAGTCCTGCTCAGCTATATTTTAGTAAATTGACCCTGAAAAAGTCCACTCATTCTTAGGACACTTCTTCAAGAATGAAAGAAACTGGGTCATAACTCAATCATAGTGACAAAGATTTGGGAAATGGGTTGGGGAGCATGGGATTCTATAGAATTAAAATTTCTAATTCGATAGAAATGCTTCCTCTGGAAGAAAGACATTGCAAGTACTGTACTTAAATATTTGAAGGGCACTTGAGCCTGGACTGTCTTGGACTGACCTCTAACGTCCATTTAAGTTTTGAGAAGAACTTGAATAATGAATGGAGGACCAGGAACGTGGACAGCTTCTTTCTGAAAGATTCCTTACACATAAAACTCTCTGCGGCCAGTCACTGTGGTTCCCATGGGGACTTCCTTGACTTATCTTTTTACCTAGAACTAACAAGATGTCAACAGTCTACATTCTGTAGCTTCCTTCAGAGATGACAGGACACTGACTCCCAGGAGAAATGGAGAAGCACAAGTCAGCCAGAGGGCTAGCTGGTTTGGCAGCAAAATTCACAGATAACAATTGAGGTTTTATACCAGTTGCTATTTGTAGGCTTCCACACTCAAATTCAGTTCTTGCAGTGCAGCTTACAGTCTGATCTAGGTGCCATGACTGCTAGAGTGTGGAGGTGTTGCATCATCATGAACTGGGTAACTTTGCCATTGTTGTACTTCCGTCATCTCTTTGCCTAAGCATGAATTCATTTTCATCTCAACTAACTCATGCAGGTGTATATTCTGTATTCACAAAAGTTCATCTCAAGCAAAGCATTCCTAGCAAAGTATCAACTGCAGTTTTGTTTTATATACAGGTTTCACATAATTATAAAAATACTGACTCCTGGGATGCCTGGTGAGATGGCCCAGAGGGTAAATGTATCTGGCCACCAAACCTGGCAAATTGAGTTCGATTCCCCCGGACCAACGTAAGGTGGAAGGAGAGAACCATTTCTGCAACATTTTCTTCTGACCACACACACATGCACCATGGCACATGCCCCAAGGCACACACAAAATAATAATGAAACTGAATCTTTTTAATAATATTCATTTCACTTACTCTATTTAACGTCAAATTCTTAGCTAGTAAAGTGTAAATAATGACCCTAAGGGAGAAAACAAGATATTTTGGTCCTTCACAATTGCATAAAGAGAACAATAACCCCAATTAAGGAGCACCCAAAGTCTCAAGTATCAAGTCCTAGAGGGGAGCTGCTTATAGAATATCTAATTTTCTATATGTCAATTTTGCTGCTTTTCACATGAGACATCTAATACACATGCCTTGATAAATTATCACTAGGCATGACAAGCTATAAAGAAAAGTGATCCAGACATTTTACTACTCTTTCAAGGCAGGCTCCTGATACTCAATGTAAGACCTGTAATTTTTGACAAGTTTCACAGATTCTTTTATTGCGTCCAGGTTTGATGGAGGTGGTAATAGTGGGTCTTTCTTCCTCCCCAGCTTTATATTTCTTTTTCTTTACTTTCAGATGAGCTAGTATGGTATTCATGTAATTTTTGCCTAAAAACATTTATCATACCACATACCTGGAAAACTTTGGTCACTTACTGTAAAAGCTTCAAGATAAACCAAAGGCTTGGTTCATTTTACATTACTTTCTCTTCTTAATATAGTTTATTATGATCGAATATTGACCACAGAAGTAACAAGTAACCTATTATAGTGGATCTCTGAATATGTAGAATAGGCCAGAAAGTTTCTAGCTGTAATTTTGTTACTGAGCGAGTTTCTAGAATAATATGTTTAATAACCAAAAATTTTTTGGAAGGAAAATCTTAATTGGCCTTCTCTTAGCTAACAGCAAGGCCAATATAAAATATTTACTTGATAAAGATTATTCAGTTACTCAAAACTTATTATATAGTGATACATACAAATGCATGATAAAATTATACACATGGAAATTAAATATCAAAGGTAAAACTAATAGCTGTTCAAAGTTGTTTATTGGGACAATAGAGGATATTTTCTTTCAACTTACAACTTTCCATAATGCTATTGTATTGATTTTACAAGAAGAAAGATGTACTCTGCCTTCCCTATAAGCTTCTCCTACGGAACACACACCATTCCAGTCCTTGCCAGAGATCATCTACTGCAGGTGACACCCTGCCCTGTAAGGAACATTCTGGGCTATTGTATCTTTTTATTTCTCTGTTCCTTCCTTTCCCATTCCCTTTATTTTTCCTCACTCTCTTTCTTTTCCTTTTCCTTCCTTCCTTCGTTCCCTCCCTCCCTCCCTCCCTCCCTGCCTTCCTTCCTTTCTGTCTCCTTCATTATTTTTCTTTCTCCTTTCCTTTTTTTGATGTGAGTTATATGTGTGTGCATACACATGTACTTGTGAATACATTCACCCATGAGCATATGTGTAGATATCAGAGGTCAATTTAAGGTACTTTCCTCAATTACTTCTCCCCCTTATTTTATGAGGCATTATCTAGAGCTTGCCATTTTGGCTAGACCAGCTGGCCAGCAAGCCCCAGGGATCTGCCTATCTCTGAACCATCAGCATTGGAATTACAGAGATGCTGCCCC